CAGTACTACTCCCTTTGACTGAAGAAAGGACCTTGGTACTTTGGTCCTGAGTTGGGAGTATTGCATGGGCCTCTGTTTCCTGTTTTTTTTTTTTTTGTACACAGGGCTTTCCGTTTTTCGGGTACAAACAAGTTGAAGATGAGCATGGCTTTTGGTAAATGTGTTGGTTAATACTAGTTTTTTGCCATGATAAAGAATGTTTCCTTTGTGCGTTTAACTCGTGCATTAGATTACAAGAAAAATCCTAAGATTTCAGCGATGATACCGATTTCCAGAGCAGAAGTCGAAGAACAAACTAACCTTAAGCTGCCAGTAAATAATAACAAAACCTCTCTGTTATTTATGTATAGTTTTACTTCTTTTGGTACATGCTGTTATTTATGCGTCGTTTTACTTCTTTTGGTACATGTGCTACTGTAAAATGATGAACAGTTAAACAGCATACTATGATCACTTGCCCTGCACACCAAGGGAAGGGTGACCACTTCGAACGCCGGGCTCTTGCCATCGTTGTAGCTCAGGAGCTCCTTCTCTGACAGGACCTTTGACTCTATGTACTTCTGCAGATGAGTACCCAACACTATCTCCATGATGATGTTGGTATGAATTTGTTCTTCTGTAGGTGCTAAGATTGGCATTTTGCATCTGATGTACAGATCATGAATCCATTATAGTTTGAAGGACAAGATCACTACTACTTACATCAAAGTGCGCGTTACGAAGAGGGTAATCGACTTCCAGCGGAGTCCAACAAGATTCAGAGATGAAATCCCTGTACACCGCAGAGGCGTCGGCGGAAGACTTTGTCAGCGGCGAAGCGGCCGACACCGATGCGGTGTGGATGACGCGCTTCACCGTCTTAGATTCCGCGCATAGCGGAGGATGACGCGCACCGCGTCCACGGCGGCTTCTGCCGAAGTCTTGTACTGCCAGCCAAAATGGTACTAAAATGACCCGATCAACATCGACTAGTTGTATTCTGAATTCTGAAACTGTATTTGTACACAGACGTATGCTCACGAAAGAGGCTTTCGCCCGCTCTTACATGTAAAGCATTAACCTCAAATCCCGGATGATTCAGCTGCAGATCAATCGTATCTATCCACGCTACAAGCCTCTCTCAGTTTGAGATCGAATCGCGGGATGTGAGTTTGAGATTGAGTTTCAGTTTCAGTTTGACTGACTGACCTTGGAGGCGGCGGCCTCGTGCGCGAAGGGGGTGGCGACGAGGAAGACGAACTGGCAGCCGGCGATGGCCGGTGCGAAGCTGGCGGCGTCGTAGAGGTTGGCCTCGAAGAGAACCAGCCGCTCCGGCGGCGCGCCGCCGGGGACAAGCCGCCGCAGCAGCCCCGCTTTCCCATCGTCCCCTGCCACAAGAACCAGATCGGATCAGCCCGGCGGCGCCAGAGTCGACGAATCGCAGCTACAAATCACATCACCGGCGTACCGACGCTCCGCAGGGTGGCGTGGACGGTGTAGCCTGCCTGGAGCAGCTTCCTGACGAGCCAGGAGCCGATGAACCCGGCTCCACCGGTGACGCACACCCGGACGCCGCGCCGGCCCGCGCTGTTCCCCTCTTCCGCCATTGCTGCCGCCTGACGGGGTCGAGATGAACCTGAGGTGAGGTGAAGCGAGGAAGAGGAGCTGGGCCGGCGCTTCCGGCACTTCTTGGCCATTTTTATGCCGCGACGGAGAAGGCCATGAGGGAAGAGGGGTTTGACTGTTGACCGCGAGAGAGAAGAATAACTTGTGTGTTTGCTTTTCTTTTGGAAAACAAGGACAAAGGCCACGAGAAAAAGACCAAGCCATAAGGAATAAAAATATATTTCTTCCTATCTTCACCAGTGGGTTGACTGGTTTTGTGGTAGAGTTGATCTCTTTCAAACAGGTTCTAGTCCCGTTTTATATAGATAAAACACAATAAACCAAAGTACACGACCAAAAGATATAAGATTGTGAGAAGACCATCATTTCCTATTCGTAATAGACAATGCATCGAAGTCGCCGTGTGAGACGTACGGACGGAAAACAGATCACCCTAGTCGCTCCCGCGGGCAGCTGGGCGAAACCCTAGCCACCGCCGCCCGCACCTCCTCCTAGCCTCCCCCTTTCCACGCCACTGACAAAGGCCGCCGCCGGGCGAAGCCCAGCTAGAGTCGGCGGAGGCTGGGCCCTCATGCCTCCTCCACTGGTGGCTATGGCGCGGGTCCTGGTGAGCGGGCAGGTAGCGCAACGTTGTCGCAGGGCGTTGTAGCGGCATCTCGAGCAACCGGGCCTTAGGCGCGGCGGTGTGCGGACACGACGGCGGCTGTGTGGCGAAGGTGGCGGGGCGGCTGGTGCCGGTTCCGCAAATCTGGTGCTTGGAGTCGTGAGCTGTGGACAGCGAGGGCCGGTGTCCTCCGTCGTGGGGTCATGGCGTCGGCGTGGTGGAGGCAGCGGTGTGGTGGCGGTCCTTGTGCTCTCATCGCATCACGTCAACGATTTGCATGATCGGTCCTCCTCGATCTGGCCATCGATGTGTTCCAAAACTACTGCCGAAGATCTTGCCCAAGGATATCTAGATCGGAGAGTATCCGGCCGTGCGCGTCCATATCAACCTGCATGGCTCCAGGAGGGCTCGGCACAAAGCTCTGTTGTTTGTTGACACCATGGGACATGTCTGCATATTGATTTCCATGGCACAAGCAGCGGCGGAGAAACTCTTGATGGCTAAGACCAGAGGATCAGTAACGCGAAGTGGGCCTTGAAGGCAATGGAGTTAGCCAGGTGTTTGATAACTTTCAGTAGGAGCAGTGTCAAGTGGGGCGGCAACACAGGATGATTTCATTTTTGGTGGTGCTCATTGGGTGCCGAGTCGTGACTTTCAGTGTGAAAACCTAAGGTCTGGTCTTCATTGGTTGTGCCTCACACCTCGCAATTGCCTTGTTGAAAGTATTGTTTTGAGAGTTTGGTCTTTCTCCAGGATGAAAACCTATATTCTTGGATAGGGCGACGACGATGCTTGTGCACTGTTTCCTTCTTGAAGGCGTCACTTTTGCAGGTGTTTTATATTTTTTGGGTGCTGTCTTTGGTGGTGGTTGTGTGTTGATGTTAAGAGGAGTTGATCACTTTGGTGAGGCCATTTTTTCCCTTTTTGTTTTCTTTTCGGGTTGTGTTCATCCGGATGTCTCGGTGACTTCTTATTGGTGCAAAAACTGGGTGTAATTGGTATCTCCATGATATTAATATATTACCCTTAGAAAACAAAGCAAATATTGAAGTTACAATATGAAACATAGATCGATAATACATTGTCGTGGCCCGATGGAGGACGCTTGAGCTCCATGACAATGCCTCCAAGAGGGTGACGGTGTCAAGCGTCCCGCTACCGAATCCATAGACATGGATTTTCTCCCGGACACCTGGCACGGGGAAGAGGTCCACGACAACGTCCCCATAAGGATAGCGTGGCACCCGTGGGCATCGCCGGCGCCAGTGTTAAAGCGCGAAGCTTTCGCTCGGGAACTCACCAGCACCACCATGAGACACCTAGGTCACCAGAGCAACAAAGACCAGCTCGTCCAAACCAGGGCATCGCCATTTCTGCCAGAAGAGAGAAGGTCGGAGCCCCCGCCGCTACTCCCCTCGCCACCCTCATGATCAAGTGTTGAAGGAACCACCACCATAATAGAGCTCGCTGGAGGGCCAATCAGGTAGCCCACCGACCAGGGCCGCCGTCCCGGCATCCAAAGACAAACCCATCACTGTCTCCATAACATGTAGATCTACAGAAAAAGATTTTAAAGAAGGTGATGGTATTACAAGACATTTTTCATCTGAAAGCCAGTGGAAGTAAGAAGAAGAACTACATTTCCTCTCCTTTTGCTGATGAGGCTGAGTTAAAGGAAGAGATTGATCTTATTGAACACATAACTTTACAAAAAATTGTTTCGCCCCGCTGAGATCACCTCCATTAGACTTGATGGTATGGAGTGTTCTCAGTTCAATGAGGGTGGCAGGAAGATGCTGACTAAGAAGTTGTCTTTGGATGACATTTTTGAGGCTATCTTTGGAATGAAGCATAATAATACAGTTTTCCCTAATGTTCTTCCAATTGAATTTTTTCAAGAATTTTGGAAGATCAAGTTCAACCTGCTGAATCTTATCAATGCTTTCCATTCTGACAACTTGGGCCTTGAGAGATTGAATCATGGCATTATTGCCCTGATTCCTAAGGTTCAGATGCAAATGTCATTCAGAAATTCAGACCATTTTGTCTGCTAAATGTGTGCTATAAAATTATTACAAAAATATTAGCAAACATACTCGGTCTGGTGATTGGTTAAGTTGTCTGTGATTCCCAAACTGCTTTCATCAAGAACAGATACTCGGTCTGGTGATTGGTTAAGAAAATGCCAGATGATCCTGTAGCAATTATCTTCAGTTTCCGTCATTATCTCACCAAAGAGAAACCACGGTAGCGGAAGCATGGATGAGGGAGTCGCGAAGATCGAAAGGATGATGCTGGAGATCATGAACAGAGCACATGGGCGGATCCTCGTTTTAGCGAGTTCTGTTTTTTTTTTGTGTGGTTCTTTGTAAAACATTGGTGTTTTCTTTAATGAAAATCGATGAGGTGTGATCGTTCTTTCAAGAAAAAACTTTGATATTTATGAAAACATGCATGCATGCGAACATGACATACTACAAAATAAACGGATCGTAACATTGATCAAAACACTTGCATCTAAATCCAAATCCACTTATGAATATAGAATAAAATAACATGTGGATTAACAACCCCGGTCCTGACATTTATGATCGTTCAAGAGCAACATGGCAATTAGCAGAATGCAGTCTAGCCTCCCGGAGGATTACGGATGTAATCTGCGACCTCTCGTCTTTTCTCCTTCCCTTTCTTTGAATCCATGGATCGATTCTGCGCAATCAATCATACACGATCCAAGAATAGGACGACGACGTTTACCTTCCGAAAATCGAGCCGCACGAGGACGGGTACGTCAGAAATGGAAGATGCTGGAGCACTTGCGCTTGAACCACCGGAGCCCCCGGCGGAGCGAGGCCTTCACCTTCCCCTTCACCGCGTACGCCTTGTACCCCGCCACCCGCCGCCGCCGCTTCATCTCTGGGTCGTTGAAGCAACACGTGCTGACCCTGGGCACAGTGCCGCGTCGTTTCGTCGTGGCCGGCGGCGGACTAGGGAACGGGATCGGTAGTGCCATGGCGAATCCCGACAGATAGGATCGGCGGGAGGGATTCTTGGAGGCGGGGTCCGGCGGGAAGGATGGCCGGACCGGAAGGAGTCTTCCCGGGATTGGCGATGGAGGCCTGCTATGGAGAAAACGGAAATGGCAGACTGGAGGGGGGAGTATTGGGAGTAACGTGGGGCTGTGAGACCCTACACGGGCGTAATTTGGAGTATCTCGTCGTCTTGGTCTATTTTCCACATGCACCGTGAGGATACTCGGGCGTTGCTAATTTAAGGGAATGCATGTTCCAAACGATAAACTAAAATTCATCAAGCATAAAACGAAGCCAAATGCACAGTGGTCAAACCAGAAAAACAATACTCACTGAAAGCCATATACAAAACCTATATAGCTAAAATGATTGTTTTCCGAAAGTTTCATCGATGGTTAGGTCAAATTTGAAATAAAATAGAATTCTCAAAACATAATAGCATTGGCCACGTTTGGAAAAATCGTCAAGGCAAAAATGATTGGCCAAATTCCCAATACCTGAGCCACGCCGGATTGAGCTCAGATGCCGCCACCCACCTACCCGCGCCCATTTGCTTCCTTGTCATGCCATCCTGCCTCATGCGTCAGGTTGGTCCCATGACAAAACACCGCCCATGGGCCCACTCAAGCTTGTCGCCCCGTCGGATTGTCCCTGAGCTAATGCCTTGGCGGAATAAAGAGAAGGAAACATGATGGACTAACAAGTGGTCCCCACATGTCAATAGATCTATCTTGGGTTAGTGTGTTAAGGATTTGCTGCAACACCTCCCCTAAGAGCATCTTTAATAGTTTCCCGATAAATCATCCCTAATAATAGGTTATTGGACTTGTCCCAAAAATTTTACAGTTCTTGGCTGATCACCAATAAATTCATCCCAAATATGCAAGTGAGACGCAGGGCATACATGTCTATGGGTCGGTTATTTTTTCTGTTCTCCTCCTGACCCCCTCTCTCATATGCCGACATCTGTCTTTCTCTTATCCCTCTCTGTCCCGACGATGCAGTTTGATCCACGTGGAGTAGCGCAGGGCCGGACGACATAGTCAGGGAGTTAGGACGACATGTCAGAACATGTGCTCGAGTGAGGCAACGATGTAGCCCGAGAGGGGCAGAGCTCAAGGCCAGGCATGGGTGGGTGCAGTTGCGATTGAGCTGGTCCGCGGGGCGGGACGGTGAGGTGGATGCGTGTAGGGGATGGTAGGCGATGAGGCAAAGCGACTGACACGAAAAGGGGGTGGTCCGACAAACAGCAAGATCCCAAGCGGGGCGTGTTGGGGAACGTAGCATGTAATTTCAAAAAAAAAAAAATCCTACGCTGACGCAAGATCTATCTAGGAGATGTATAGCAATGAGGGGGAGAGTGTGTCTACGTACCCTCGTAGACCATAAGCGGAAGCGTTTCACAACGTGGTTGATGTAGTCGTATACCTTCACGATCCGTCCCGATCACGTACCGAACATACGACACCTCCACGTTTAGCACACGTTCAGCTCGATGACGTCCTCACCTTCTCGATCGAGCAAGAGAGGCGGAATAGTAGATGAGTTCCGGCAGCACGACGGCGTGGTGACGGTTGGTGATGAAGAACAATCTCCGCAGGGCTTCACCAAGCACTACAGAAACTAGACGGAGGATAAACTAGAGGGGATGGGGTTGCCGGCACATGGCTTGGTGAATCTTGATGTGTTCCAGGTGCTAGCCCTGCCCCTCTATTTATATGTTGAGCCCTGGCACGTGGTCGTAACTTGGAGAAAGAGCCTCCTCAAAGTCGGTTTTGCCCGCAAGGGGGAGTCCTTCTCGGACTTCCAGGACTAGACACCACAGTCCTTGGCGTCTGGCCCAGACGCCATGGGCCTCGGCGTCTGGCCTAGGGCCAGACGCCAGGGTCTCCGGCGTTTGCCCCCTGGCATCCGCAAAACTCCTTTTGCATCGACCTAAAGCCCTGTGGGCCTTACCCCTTGGCCTAACCATATCATCCTATATATCAATCTTTACCACCGAACCATTCCGGAGCTCCTCGTCATGTCCGTGATCTCATCCGAGACTCCGAACAACATTCGGTCATCAACATAGATAACTCATATAATACTATATCGTCAACGAACGTTAAGCGTGCGGACCCTACGGGTTCAAGAAATATATAGACATGACCGAGACACCTCTCCGGTCAATAACCAATAGCAGGACCTGGATGCCCATATTGGCTCCTACATATTATAAGAAGGTCTTTATCGGTCGAACCTTATGACAACATACGTAATTCCCTTTGTCTGTCGATATGTTACTTTCCCGAGATTCGATCGTCGGTATCTCCATACCTAGTTCAATCTCATTACCGGCAAGTCTCTTTACTCGTTCCATAATACATCACCTCGTGACTAACTCCTTAGTCATTTTCTTGCAAGTTTATGACGTGTATTACCGAGAGGGCCAAGAGATACCTCTCCGATACTCAGAGTGACAAATCCTAATCTCGATCTTTGGCAACTCAACAAACACCTTCAGAGATACCTGTAGAGCATCTTTATGATCACCCAATTATGTTGTGACGTTTGATAGCACACAAGGTATTCATCCGGTATCCGGGAGTTGCATAATCTCATAGTCGAAGGAATATGTATTTGACATGAAGAAAGCAATAGCAATAAAACTAAACGATCAATATGCTATGCTAATGGATGGGTCTTGTCCATCACATGATTATTCTAATGATGTGACCCCGTTGATCAAGTGAAAACACATGTCTATGGTTAGGAAACTTAACCATCTTTGATTAACGAGCTAGTCTAGTAGAGGCTTACTAGGGACACGATGTTTTGTCTATGTATCCACACATGTATCAAGTTTCCGGTTAATACAATTCTAGTACAAATAATAAACATTTATCATGGAATAAGGAAACATAAAATAACAACTTTATTATTGCCTCTAGGGCATATTTCCTTCAGTCTCCCACTTGCACTAGAGTCAATAATCTAGTTCACATTGCCATGTGATTTAACACAAATAGTTCACATCGTCATGTGATTAACACCCATAGGTCACATCGTCCTGTGACCAACACCCAAAGGGTTAACTAGAGTCAATAATCTATTTCACATCGCCATGTGATTAACACCAAAAGAGTTCTAAGGTGTGATCATGTTTTGCTTGTGAGAGAAGTTTAGTCAACGGGTCTGCCACATTCTGATCCGCATGTATTTTGCAATTTTCTATCTCTACAATGCTCTGCATGGAACTACTCTAGATAATTGCTCCCACGTTCAATACGTATCTATATTGAGACTTGGAGTCATCTAGATCAGTGTCAAAGTTTGTATCAACGTAACTCTTTACGACGAACTCTTTATCACCTTCATAACCGAGAAACATTTCCTTAGTCCTCTTTAAGGTAACTAAGGATAATTTTGACCGATGTCCAGTGATCTACTCCTGGATCACTATTGTACCCCCTTTCCAAACTCATGGCAAGGTACACACCAGGTTTGGTACATAGCATGGCATACTTTATAGAACCTATGGCTGATGCATAGGAAATGACTTTCATTCTCTCTTTATCTTCTGTCGTGGTCAGGTTTTGAGTCTTTACTCAACTTCACACCTTACAATACAGGCAACAACTCCTTCTTTGACTGATCCATTTTGAACTCCTTCAAAATCTTGTCAAGGTATGTACTCATTGAAAGTCTTATCAAGCGTCTTGATCTATCTCTATAGATCTTGATTCCCAATATGTAAGCAGCTTCACCGAGGTCCTTCATTAAAAAAATCTTATTCAAGTATCCATTTATGCTATCCAGAAATTATATATCATTTCCAATCAACAATATGCCATCCACATATAATATAAGGAATGCTACTGAGCTCCCAGAGGCTTCACCGTAAGTCTGTATAAAACCATATGGTTTGATCACCTCATCAAAGCGTATATTCCAACTCCGAGATGCTTGCAGCAGTCCATAGATGGATCACTGGAGCTTGCACACCTTGTTAGCACCTTTAGGATCGACAAAACCTTCTGGTTGCATCATATACAACTCTTTAGAGATATCCATTTAAGGAATGCAGTTTTGACATCCACTTGCCAGATTTCATAAAATGTGGCAATTGCTAACATGATTCAGATGGACTTAAGCATTGCTTACGGTTGAGAAAGTCTCATCGTAGTCAACCCCTTGAACTTGTTGAAAACATTTTGTGACAAGTCGAGCTTTGTAGACAGTAACATTACAATCAACGTCAGTCTTCTTCTTGAATATCCATTTATTCTTTATGGCTTGCCGATCATCGGGCAAGTCCACCAAAGTCCACACTTTGTTCTCATAGATGGATCTTATCTCAGATTTCATGGCCTCAAGTCATTTATCGGAATCTGGGCTCATCATAGCTTCTTCATAGTTTGTAGGTTCGTCATGGTCTAATAACATAACTTCCAGGATAGGATTTCCATACCACTCTGGTGCGGATTGTGCCTTGGTTGACCTATGAAATTCAGTAGTAACTTGATCTGAAGTTTCATGATCATCATCATTAGCTTCCTCTCTAGTTGGTGTAGGCATCACGGGAACAATTTTATCTGATGTACTACTTTACAATTCAAGAGAAGGTACATTTACCTTATCAAGTTCTACTTTCCTCCCACTCACTTCTTTCGAGAGAAGCTCCTTTAGAAAGGATCCATTCTGAGCAATAGAGATCTTGCCTTCTGATATGTGATGGAAGGTGTACCCAATTGTTTCCTTAGGGTATCCTATGAAGATGCACTTCTCCGATTTGGGTTCGAGCTTATCAGGCTGAAGCCTTTTGACATAAGCGTCGCAACCCCAAATTCTAAGAAATGACAGTTTAGGTTTGTTGCCAAACCATAGTTCATATGGTGTCATCTCAATGGATTTAGACAGTGGCCTATTTAACGTGAATGTGGCTGTCTCTAATGCATAACCCCAAAACGATAGTGGTAAATCGGTAAGAGACATCATA